GTTTGAGGTTGCTGTGAGCTAGGCTGATGCCTTGGCACTCTAGCCCAGGCAAGAGAGTGAGACTCTGTCTCAAAAAAAAAAGAAAGGTAGGACAATTCACTGAATAGTCAGAGACACCACGGTCAAATTTAGAACTTAGATGTCCTGAATTCTTGTTCAGAATAATTTCTACTATGACATGCCTCTAAAACCTGGAAGATGGCTTATTGAAGGCTTCCTATTATTTATTTAACTTTTATTATTATGAAAGCAGGATGTGTGCATTGTAGAAAGTTCTAAAATACAGAAAACCAAAAGTGAAAAAATAAAAACATTCCTGCTACTCAGAAATCATATTCTTAACACATTAATGTATATCATTCCAGATATTTTTGTAGGACATATATATACATAAGTATTTTTTATCAAAATAATATACTGTACATGCTGTAATCTAATCTGTATGCTTAGTTAACCTGTGTTTTCATGACAATATATTTTCATTTTATATGATCGCCAGACAATATTTAAATTTCTTATATTGTCCACAAATGTCCTTAAAATTTCAATTGTTTTTTTTCAAACTAGGATCGAATACAGGACTGCACATTGCACCTGGTTGTTACATCCCTTAAGTGTCTTTTAGTCTATCTCATCCTCCCCTACTTTTGTTTCATGACACTGACATGAAGAGACTGCCATTTGTTTTGCAGAGTATTGAATCTTTTGGATTTGTTTTGTTGCTTCATGGTGTTAACTTTTTCCTCCAGTCCTTATATTTCCTTCAAACTGGAAGTAAGATTTAAAGGCTGGGTTCAAGTTAAATATTTTGGCTGGAACACATCATGGATGATGTTGTGTACTTCATACTGCTTTACATCAGGACACACATGACCTCTGATGACCTGCCGTAGCGATGCTAAGTTTAAACACTGAATCACGACGGTGATACCCTTACCCCTCCATTGTACAATTATGTTTTTCCCTTTGTAACCTGAAAGTTATGTATGTGCTGTTACTTTGGCACTATATAAGTAGTTTATAATAGCACTTGAAATCTTTCCTAAATCAATAATTGCTTTAGTGGTTGTAGAATGATGATTTTTGGATTCTGTCATTCTTTTAATGTTACTAGCTGGCATTACTCCTCTCATCACTTGGGGCTATTAGTTAATATGAAATACATAAAGTTCCTACTGGAAAGACAGAATAAATGCTTTATTCTTTCCTTTTACTGATTCTCAAAATAAGGAGTTGCTTTAATAGCCACTTCAAATGGTGAAACTAATTTTTCCAGCTTCCTCTTTGTGTGTCTGTGTATATAGTCATGTGCCATATAATGACATTTCAGTCAGCAATGGGCCACATATTCAGTGGTGGTCCCATAAGATAATATTATAATAGCATATGTTTACTGTGCCTAATTGAGGATTCCTGCCACCATGGGAAAGTAATAAGGGAAGAGAAAGAGGGATATAAGCTTTAGCAGTATACTTTATAAAACTACTATATTTCTGCCATTATGTTGCATTTACCGTTTAGCATCAACTTCTGTCATTGATTGAATGCTTTCTCTGTGCTGATGTTGTATACACAATCTCATTTAATCATATTTATATAATTATCAGCATTAAACACATCCACCATTGTGACTCAGTTTGAATAACTTGCCTATGATCACATGACTATTAAGTGGTAGACCTAGAATCTGATCCTAGCTCTGTTTAATTCTAAAGCCCATGCTCCTAACCACTTTGTTCCACTGAAAATTTAGTACAGAGAAGATGAGTATCTGCTCCATTTGGCATCTAAAACAGTGGAACTGAATTTCGAACAATGTACATATACATATTAACAAAATTCTGTTATAACAATACAATTTAGAGTTTACATAAGTACATAGACTTTATAATATTGAAATTGTTTACAGGATTAATACAAAGTATTTTAGAGTTTTTAAAAAAGCTCTTTCACATAAAACTTTTCCAAGAATATAGCGTATCATTTAATTAAATTATATTCGATAACATAAATTACAAGTTCAATGCCTAGGCATAGTAGATGCTCAAAAACGGTATATGTAACTGTTAATTTTGTACAGCTAATTGTGGATTGATTGATTGAATTAGCTGTTTTAATAACTTGAAGTGAAAAAGAAAGTGCAATGAAATCTCATCAGTTTGGATGTCATTAGTTCTCACTTTATGATCATTTGGACAGGAACTAAAGTTTATATTTGCGGTATAAAGAAAGGCTTCCAAACATACTCGAAAACTTTCGTATTTCAAAACATTTTCATCAAAAGAATTTCACTCAGTTAAGTGAGTTGATTAGGCTATTTAATGTTCTTGAAAATTGTTTTTGAAATACCTAGGAATATTGCAATTTCACAGTTTTGTTATTTTTACCAATTCAAGTTACTCTTTTATTTAGTTAACCTGAAATAATGTGGTTTTATTGTAAGTTTGCTTCACATGAGGAATGACATCAACACTGAATTGATAGACTTCATGAGGAAAAGTGCTTACTTACTAGAATTCTTTTGCTCTTTCTTAAAATTTAGTTAAAGCTTGTGAAACTGTACTCTAATTCATAAACTAAAAGACCAATCACCAAAAACTAAAATCTCACATTAGAATGTAATGCTAGAACCACTAAATTGCATTAATTGGGGAGAATCTTGAAATTTGAATTTAGTCTTAACTCCATCCCCCTTAGAGTCTGTTTCCATGTTGGTAAAATTGAGAAATCTGCTCTGCATACTTACAACATTTTTGTGATCATCAAAGGAGAAAATATGTTACAACACTGAAAATTATTTAAAGTGCTATGAAATAAGATGGTATTTTATTTAAGAGAGTGTTCTTCCAACAACTATTAATACATTACTGTTACAAATAATATGAGTGACTCCTCACAAGTAAGTTTGTTTTGTCATTCATGTTTACACCCAAGTTATTCTAAAAGGTAGTACTACGTAGCTAATATATCACAAAATGATTTCCAGACAGGTGAGTTGCAGTAAATTGCTTGATCTTTTGGAAATATATAATAATTTTGATATATATTTGGATATTTATACATTTCTCTTACTTCAGCAAATAGGCATTGTTCAAGTTAGTTTTTTTTTTTTACATGAGAACTCTCAAACTACCAAGTTAGTATTTAGTATTTGGGGTTCCTACAGTTGAATCTTCTGATTAGTTCCTAATGCTAATCTTTCTTACTAGTCTCTCCAATAACTTTAACAGATGTGGACAATCTAAGGGATTCTGAAAGTTCAATGTAATTATGCCTTGAACTATAGGAATTGTATTCCAGCTACTTTGAGCAGAGAGAAAATTTACTAGGGCCATGAACTAATGGAAGCAGCACAGATTGAGTCAGCCCCAAGGATTGAATTTCAGCTGTTGGATTTATTAGGTGTGTGTCCTTGGGCCGATTCTTTCATCTCTCAGACCTCATTTTTTAAAAAAAATCTATAAAATGGGGATAATAACACCTATCTCACACAGTCGGAATGAAGATTAAATTAAGATATTGCATATTTAGTGTGGTATTTGACACCTAATAGGTGCTCAATACAAGTTTATTTTTTTTTTTCCTTTCCTTCTTCATCCTTAGGGAAATTTTTTTATAGTTCCACTGGGCCAATTCATAGACTAGTGAAGAGGAATGAATGGACTGTCTTTCCATAGTTGCAGCAGTGGAAAATTTTTATTTGCCTAGAGTTGTATGTCAAAGCATCAAAGCAAACCCAGTTGTCTGTTGATTTTGAGAAGTCCTATCAGTCTTTAGTTTACCAATTCAGACAGATTCTGCTATACATCATTGATTTCCTAACAGTAGACTTCGACAATTAAATGCTCTCAAAAACAGTTTTTTTTGCTTGTAAAAATACATTTGCTAATAGCCTGAGATAGTTTTTCTAATATCAAGACTCCATAGAGAAAAGAACAACCAAATTAGCATTAGCTACAGCATGTCTTGTAAGCCATATTCAAAGCAGAGCAAACTTTTTTTTTTTGAGACAGAGTCTCACTCTTTTGCCCGGGCTAGAGTGAGTGCCGTGGCGTCAGCCTCGCTCACAGCAACCTCAAACTCCTGGGTTCAATTTATCCTTCTGCCTCAGCTTCCTGAGTAGCTGGGACTACAGGCATGCGCCACCATGCCCGGCTAATTTTTTCCTCTATATTTTTAGTTGTCCAATTAATTTCTTTCTATTTTTAGTAGAGACGGGGTGGCCCCCTGAGCTCTTGCTCAGGCTGGTCTCGAACTCCTGAGCTCAAACAATCCACCCACCTTGGCCTCCCATAGAGCTAGGATTACAGGCGTGAGCCACCGCGCCCAGCTCAGAGCAAACTTTTAAGTATTTTATCATCTCAGGAAAGTGTCTAAGATTGTCATAGATTTTATGATTCTTTTATATAATTTACCTCATATATGATTCTTTTTTCTTACTATTTATAAATGAGGATTTTATTAGGAAAGTGTTTAAAATACATGTTTTAAAATTCATTGAAGAAACTCATTTTTTAACTTGTAGCTGCAGTGACTTTAACAGAAGTGAAGTATACACCAGGTACTAATAATTAAACAGTACCAGGTACCAATATATACCTACCCCTACTCCACCCCTGCTGTTAAGATAATTGTGTTTTCCTTTTTCTGAAGTAACTCAACTATTAATGCATTTAGACGACAAACTTCAAGTTGAATTTATTAAGATATTATATAGGCCACTAAGATTTTTTTTCTTTTTGTATTTCCAACTGAAGTTAAGTTTTACCTCGTTACCAGATTCAGAAGAAGATGTTGTGGAAACCCCTGCCGTGTCGCATGATGAACACACACACCAGGAGATAAAGGGCCAGAAAACACTGGCAACTCCTGCAGTTCGCCGCCTTGCAATGGAAAACAATGTAAGTTCCTATGTAAGTCTGAGACTGCATAGACAGTATACGTTTGTATCTTTGAAAAATTAGCCAACTTTCCCCTGATGAAATGGCTCAAGTTAGAATTAAAGAAAACAGGAAAATATTTGTTACTAAAATGTGATAGTTGTATAAAAGTACTTGGGAGAAATGAGAAGTTGGGTGCATGTGATTGATTTATTGAAGGAGTGAAAACCTGTAAAGGGAATGAAGGAAGCAGAATAGGAAGAGAAGGAAACAAAAGGAAATGGGCCGGATGCGGATATGGTATCACGGATCTGTCCTAACCTGAAGGGGATGGGGAGAGCCATTTTGTATTCCCTCTGCGGGTCATTGACTGAATGGAGGGTGGAATGCCAGGCCAGGGGGCTCCCTGGCACTCTCATAAGTATTTGCATATTATCTCATTCAGCCCTGTGAGATAACAGGCTATTCTAAGACTTGGAGAGGTTAAGTGACAAGTCTGAGGACACAGAGCTAACACAGCATCAGAGCTAGAATTCCAAAGTGAGTCTATGTCACTCTGAAACCAGTGCTCTTAGACATTGTGCGGTGCCTCGACAATCACTGCCTCTATTATTTGAGCACATGCCGGTATTTGAATATACACACATTATCTCTGATCTTCATGGCAACCCTGTGGGATGGTTTGGATTATTCCCATTTCCCTGATGAAAAAGGGCAGGAAGGTTGGTTAACTATCGAAAATCAAGTAAACTGAACTGGGGATTTGAACATAAATTTGTCTGTTTTCAAAGCCTGAGTTCTTTCCACTGTGCCCCACAATGCAGACTTGTTGTTTGTCTGTTTTTGAGAAAAGTAGTTATGTTACAATGGGAAAAAACAAAAGTTTACATTTTGGAAATATGTAATAGCATCATTAAAATGTTCATACCCTTTCAGCCAGTTATCCGGCCATTGGAGAACTATCCCAAGAAAATAATCTAGGATACATTCTTCCTGGTGTTTTATATAGCCAAAAATCAAAAGGTGTGTATATATTCAAAATCAGGGAAATGCTTAGGTAAATTATGTTATACACCTTTGATGAAATTTTATGTAACCCTTAAATGTGTTTAAATATGAAGACATTTAGCACAATAAAAAATAGAAATAATAATATGGAACACTAGATTAAGGGCATCAGATGAAATAATGGTTTTATATATTGCTTTGAAAGCTATAAAACATCTTACCAATTTTTTTTCTTAATTATATAGAAAGATCACTTGTAGAAGAAATGCATGATTTGGCTTTCCTGAACCACTTCCTAAAGATGTGTATAGTAACTAGAATACTGATATGATTACTAGAAATTAAGTAGTAGATTTTATTATTATAAATCACCTTTTTCTTCTTGCAGTTTGCATATTTATAAATTGAATTTGTTTAAAACTAAAAACCAGTGGCATTTACAGTTATTTATAATTGCCTAAAAATTATTTGTTTAAATTCTCAGAGTTTGTTATAAACTTAATGTTTGACATAATAAAGTCCTTTATTCTTTTAAAGTTATTTAAAATGTTATCTTTAGAGCTGCACTAATACAAATGAAGCTGGACTTAACCCTAAGAAATTAATTAACACACACTATGTGTGAGGATATCATCCAAGCTTATGTGTTTATTTGTATTTAACTAGAATTAACTGTTTTGTACTGATCTTTCCAAAGCAACTATCAGAAAAAAACTAATTTGAGAGAAGTTTGGTATGATGATTATTTAAACAATTACCTGTTTAATTGGTCACCAACATCAGACACATTGGTCTAAATTTGTTATAGTGTTATTTCTTCTTTAAACTCTCAAATTCTCTCTTCTTAGTTATTGCTATTTTGGAAATGGGGTCTCACTCTGCTGCCCAGGCTGAAGTGCAGTGGCCCAATCATAGCTCACTGCAGCCTTGAACTCCTGGGCTCAAGGTATCCTTCTGCCTCAGCCTCCTGAGTAGCTGGAACTATAGGCATGTGGTACCGTGCCTGACTAATTTTTAAATTTTTTTTTGTTGTGGAAGCAGGGTCTCATCATGTTGCCTAGGCTGGTCTTAAACTCCTGGCCTCAAGTGATCCTCCCTTCTTGTCCTCCCAAAGCACTGAGATTACAGGCGTGAGCTACCACACTTGGTCCAGTTCTCCCTCTTCTTATATAGTCTCCAAGAGTAGAAAGGATTGAGTAAAAATTATGCAAGAGATTTTAAAATACCTGACTATTTAAAAATGCAAGTTTTTATAATAGCTATGGATTATATAGATACCTCATAGTTACCAGTGTGTACAAAAGTAATAAATGATTACTTGTATAGGATAGCTATAGCTTATCTAGTAAGACAATGCAAATGTTATTTCCTTGTACTAATTTATTGGGCAGATATATATTTTTACCTTCAATTTATTAAATTCCATTTTGAAACTTTAATAGTTGATTCATTTTTAAGTAGTTGTATTTTTAGCATTAAAATATGTCATTTTTTAGATTAAGCTGAGTGAAGTTGTTGGCTCAGGAAAAGATGGCAGAATACTTAAAGAAGATATTCTCAACTATTTGGAAAAGCAGACAGGAGCTATATTACCTCCTTCACCAAAAGCTGAAATTATACCACCTCTGCCAAAACCAAAAGACATGACTATTCCCATACCAGTGTCAAAACTACCGATATTCACAGGCAAAGACAAGACAGAACCCATAAAAGGTAATAATAATAATAACATAATATAGGGAAATAGTATTCTTATTTTGGGGAAAGCTGCTTCAATAGATAAATGTGTGTAATATGTTTTTAATTCTTACTGAAGGGTAAGTTCAAATTCAACATATAGTTTTTTAATGGAGAAATAACATAGCTTTTCCAGGAAATACTTTCAATTTATATGTACTGTTAATTTCTGAAGAGTGATACCTTAGCAGGTTTCTTGGAATATAAACTTGTATACTGATCATTTTTCTGCTTGAAGACTTGCTCAGGATATTTTAAACATTCATTATTTTTAGTTAGCTTTCAAAATAACTAGGATGATTAACTTTCAGAAGAGTGGCTTTGCAAGAAAGCCATTAGGTAAATACATGGCTTGCATCCTTTTGAATTTTTTATACACCACAGTATTTAAAGCAATTACCTGCTATATTATTGTACTTGCCACTGGGTGTTGTGATGTAGTCAGTGTTCCAGCTTTGAAATTAGTGACTTTCAGTGTAATGTAATGTGATGTAGATGGTAACAATAGAACAAGTTTAATTGAGAGAATAAAGGACATTAGAGAACATTCTATTTTAGTTTTTTAAAAAGGATGGAAGGATTTAAGAATTTTAATAAGTAACGGTTGAATCTTTTCCAGGCTTTCAAAAAGCAATGGTCAAGACTATGTCTGCAGCCCTGAAGATACCTCACTTTGGCTATTATGATGAGGTTGACCTTACTGAACTGGTTAAGCTACGAGAAGAATTAAAACCCATTGCTTTAGCTCGTGGAATTAAACTCACCTTTATGCCCTTCTTCTTAAAGGTAAGATTTCATTCATTTCAAACAAGGCTTGAGAAGGACATTTAAATTTTGTTTTGTAAATATGCAATATGTTGACTATGGGTTTGAATTAAAATATTTTCATCATATCATATAGTTAGAAAATATACAAATGTACTGTTTCTTTGTTTAATAGGAATTTATAAAATTGAAATTTCTGTCATATTTTTGTCTACTTATCTCTTTGAGCTAGGTGGAGATTATCCTGCCAGTTAAGTAACGCCTTTAATTCTAAAAAGATCACTCCAGCAAAGTCATGATTTGATCTAAAATGAGACTTGGTATTGATTTTACAAATATCACTGATAGGTAGTTTCATTTATTCAACAAACTTATGTTGAGGCTCCTGGGAATCGATTCTAGTGCTAGGCTGTGGGACCAATATAAAATGGAGTAAGACCATCAGCTGACCTTGAGCAGCCCACCGTCTAGCTCGTGTTAATGACTACTCACAACAGCTACCATGTGCCAGGCTCCGTACTAAGCATGCTGTACATGTTCTCTCTTAACTCTCAGAGTAACCCTCACGTGTAACTGTTACCATCCCCACTTCCATTTAAGGCAGCTGGGGCTCAGAGAGGTTGAGAGGCTTGTCAGGGACTTCTGGCTAGCAAGTGGAGAAGCCGTTTCAGCTTCTGGTCTGCTTCACTCAGAAGGCCGCACGGTCTCCAATGCCAGCGTGGCCCCCCTCCCGCCCTTCCTCGACACTGCACCAAGACTACACCATAAATCAAATTATTGTTTTATTCGCTGATTCCTTTTTGTGGTTCTCCTTCATTGCCTTTAGGATAGTTTCCAAACTCCTTAATGTGGCATATAAATATTTTTATACATCTCTGCTACCTACCTCTCCAGTCCTCCCCTTCCTCTGTTTTAGTCATGTTAAACTACACATAGTTGCCAGAATATACAATTCCACCGCAGTGTACCCTCCTCTCTTGATCAAATACCTGGGCATCCTAAATGCTAAGTTGTGTTCAAGCACAGACCCCTCCAGCAGCCTTCTGCAGCTGTCACTGAGCTAAATACTCTGTTTCCCGTTGCAACGTGCCTCAGCGTGTGGCATGTGCTGACTCGGTTGTGTCTTCGGTGGATGCCGAACCTCACGAGGCAGAAACTATTCTCTTTTAGCTCCACTTTTTAAGCCACTATCCTAACAAATAAGTAAGTGGGTGCTTTATAAATATAGATGTGGTAGGTGTCTATAATGAAAGGAGAGCGATCTGGACTTCATTCTGCCTCTAGAGTTATCTATAGAGACGAGGCAATTGGAACAGGTGGATGACATCACCCAAGTTGTGTATGGATGAGAAGGCTGAGGGTTTCACAGGGCTAGACAGGGTGGAGTTGGCAAAGACAGTCGAAGAGGGTGTGTGGGGCCTGTGGTGGGATGACGATAGGATGACGAGGAAAGAGGCACTTAGAAGCTAAGTGTATCTATTGCTATGTAACAAGCCACCCCTAAAATTTCTCTCCCTGGCAGACCAGCCTACACGTGGTCTCACAGTGCTGGCAGGGATGAAGAGAGGGGGCAGAAATTGCTCAGTCCCTTTTATTTGCCCAGGCTCTGCTGCACCAAGTTTGTTTTTTTGTTTTGAGCTACAGTCTTGCTCTGTCTCCCTGGCTAGAGTGCAGTGGTATCATCATAGCTCACTGCAAACTCAAACTCCTGCACTTCAGCAATTCTCCTGCCTTAGCTTCCCAAAGTGCTAGGATTACAGGTGTGAGCCACCGTGCCGGCTCAAGTTTGTTCTTATCTGTTGACCAAAGCAAGTCACTAAGCTTAGTCAGCCTGAAAGAGCACTACCAAAGGGTGTGGATAAAGGGAGGTGTGAAAGAGTGGGGCCGTTGATTGAGCCTCTTACACTAAGAGAGACGAAAAAAGTTTTAAGGGCAGAGTAGATAACCGGCATATGCATCACAAAGGTTAAATAGGATATGGACTAGGAACAGGCTATTGGAGCAGTAATCTGGAGGCCACGAGTGGCCTCAGCCGGAACTGATTGAGTATTATTGAGGTAGAAGCTTGGTTGCAGTTGCTTGGGGAATGAATAGGAATGAGAAAGAGGAGCATTAGGAAAAGCTGGTGAAAGGCAGATGGGGCAGTGGGTGCAGAGGGTAGTTAAGACGGCTGTGTGCAGGAGAGTGAGGAAAGGTTCCATCTGCCTCCGCCCCTCCTGCACATCCTCAGGGAAAAATCTAGCAGTTTGTAGGCTACAGGAAAGAGCTGCAGAATCTGAAGACAAAAAAAATTGTGAGTGGGAAGGATTATCGGAGCAAGATCCTGGCATTAGGGGAAGAATGCAGTGAAGACCCCAGTGGAGAAGTTAACCTTGAAGAGCAAGAGAGCCCCACTTCTGTGTTTCTGATTGGGTCTCTCTTACTGTTTTTTGGTAACAGCAAGTGTTTTGAAGCAAGGATAGACCATCCGTTTAATACATTGAATTTCTTTTATTACCATTTTTCTTCATTGTTTCACTCTGAATGACTAATCTAAAACTAATCTTTATTTTGAAAACATAAAATTTAGCTTGCTTTGTTTTAAAATACATTTTTATATAAGTTACAGAACATTTGGAAAATACTATGAAGTATTGTACAAGGGAAAAAATAATCTAATCCGTGGGCACATATCTTGTATTTTCTTTTACAAAATTTGGATTATGCTGAAAACCCTGTTTTTATGTGTAACACTTTAGATTAACCTTAGTTATGGATTTTTACACAAAGAAGATTAAAGTTACAGTTATCAAATCAAATACTTATTAAAGCTTTCAGGTCATAAAAATGAAAGAATTTGCAGCAAATCTTTTCATTATATTTTTCTTTCACTGATCTACTTCCATACCCGTCCTAGCTAAACTAATCACTGTAACTCTCTAGTTCAAGGATTTGACATTTTTCCTCCCCTATTAAGGCCACCAACCCACAGACAAAAATAACACTTAACACAATGCATGTAAAGAACTCTCAATGGGACTGGACAAGGGCAGTAGCGGGAAGGAATTCTTTTTAAGCACAATCCTAAGCATTATAATTTTGCTATCTTTTAAATTTAATACGAGGCATGACTACCACATGCAATATGTGAACCTTGATTATCAGATCCTGGATGGGCAGAGAAACAGCTATCAAGAACATTTTGGAAACAGGGAAATCTGAATATGGACAGGAGAGAAATGGTGTTAAAAGACAAAAGGTCACAGTTTCTGTGGCTGAAAAAAAAAGAGAGAGACAGAGAGACTAAAGCAAAAAAGAAGGGGAAAGACTAAGGGAGAAGGAGGCAGAGAGGGAAAACAAATGCTCTTCAGTGAGACTCAGGCACTAGAGTAAATGTTTGTGCCAGCTCAGCCCTTCATTTGGCCAAGGACACCAGGTGGAAAACTGACCTTTGCTGGCCAGTGCACTTTGAAATCCTTATTACATGTTCTTTCTACGTAGGGAAATAGCTTACCTGTCTTTTTGTGTTTGAATTCCTAGTGTATATTTGGACTACAGGTTTACTTCTCATGGAAATCTTAAGACTACGTGTAAGTGAGGAAATCACTTATAAAAATCTCCTTGATCTTTACAAGCTACCTGACTGCTTTAAATCTTTTATTCTGAAATGATTAGGGTGACCCAGTTCTGCACTGCTTGAAGGTAATATTGGATGTGCCTACGTACATGGAGACTTGAAATTAAACTCAGCATAAATAGGAGCTCTCTCCCTCCTTCTTTTAATATTAATACTTATTGCTTGGAATCCCCTACCCCTTCCGAGTTAAAGGTGCTAAAGTTGCAATCTCTTTCTGTTAAACAGGCTGCATCCTTGGGATTACTACAGTTTCCCATCCTTAATGCTTCTGTGGATGAAAACTGCCAGAATATAACATATAAGGTTGGCTATACAGTGTGAAAATGTTCTTGTTATAAGTAGAAGATAGTGCCAGTGTGCTTGTAGGTTAGAGAGGCTTCTATTGTCCCTCAAATAGTGGTCTTTTTTAGATTAGAATTAAAGATATGGGATAAAACATTAAACTTAAGTATAATTTATTGCTATTTTTGTTTTTACTGGTTAATCATGCTACTATTTAGATATGGAGATTGGCATTTTTAAGCTTTTTTGGTTTTCTGCTTAAAATAATGGAAATATATAGCTGTACAGCAGTGGATTGTGTTACCTACCCTACTTTACCCTCTCAAAAAGAAGCAGCTCTCTCAAAATTGAATTCCTGAAATGTTAAGAATAATTTAAATGAGAAAAGTAGTAAGTTTGAATTCAATTTGAGTGAACTCTTCTGTTCGGAGTGAAACTTTCTTAAGACTGAGAACTCAGGGATGCCATTCCTGTGTATGTTTCTCATTAGAAATATACAACTAGGAAGTGAGTTTAGATATTCTGGAAGTCAGATCTAGAATATTAATATGATTAATACAGCTGGCTATATTTATTTTTATTTTAATATTTCCTGATTAAGTATATACTTGTTATAAAAATTTCAGGCAAGAAAATGATGTTTACCTTCAAGCCCACGATCCTAATACAACTTACTGTTTATGTTGAGATACACATCCTTCCAGGATTTTATTCTTATATTTATTCTCATATACTTTTTAAAAAATATATAGAATTATTCATATTTTTCTTTATCTCACTTTTTTCTTCTTAATATATTATGGACATCATTATATGTCCATAAATACAGCTTTGTTTCCATTTACTTAGCCAGTGACTTATTGATAAACATTTTGATCGCTTGCAGTTTCTAAAACTTATAAACAATCTGTATACAACATCCCTGTGTATTGGTATATACTTCTGCATTTAGCTCTTTAGCACATATTCTTATAAATTTTGTTGCATATTGTCATATGTTTTCCAGAAAGTCTATACAGGTTGAGTATCCCTTATCTGAAATGCTTGAGACCAGAAGTGTTTTGAATTTCATTTTTTTTTTTCAGATTTTGGAATATTTGTATATATATAATGAGGTATCTTAGGGATAGGACCCAAACCTAAACATGAAATTCATTTATGTCTCATATACACCTATATACATAGCCTGAAGGTAATTTTATACAATTCTTTTTTTTTATTTTAAGAGATAGCATCTCGCTCTTACCCAGGCTATGGAGTGCGGTGGCTGGATCATAGCTCACTGCAGCCTCAAACTTCTGGGCTTGAACGATCCTCCCACCTCAGCCTCCTGAGTAGCTCCTCCTGTATGCACCACCACTCCTGGCTAATTTTTTAATTTTTTGTAGAGACAGGGTCTCACTATGTTGCACAGGCTGGTCTTGAACTCCTGGCCTCAAGCAGTCCTCCTGCCTCAGCCTCTCGAAGTGCTGGGATTATAGGCATGAGCCACTGCACCTGGCATTATTTTTAATAATTTTGTGCATGAAACTAAGTTTTGACTGTAACCCATCACATGACGTCAAGTGTGGTATTTTCCACAGGTGACATCATCGTGTTGGTCCTCAGAAGATTTTAGATTTTAGAACATTTTGGATTTTGGGTTTCAGATTTTCAGATTAGGGATGCTCAACCTCTCCCAGCTTACATTTCCAGTAACAATAAAGGGAAATAGCCTGTTGCCCTATATTCTTATCAACAAAACATTATCTTTAAAAAAAATCGCTTAGAAATTATTTTAAAATTATTATTATTTTTTTAAGAGGCAAGGTCTTGCTCTGTTACCAAGCTGAAGTACAATAGTATGATCACAGCTCATGGTAACCTCAAACTCCTGGGCACAAGCGATCCTCCTGCCTCAGCCTCCCGAGTAGCTAGGACTACAGGCATGTGCCACCACACCTAGATAAATTTTTTTTTAATTGTTTGTAGAGTCAGGGGTCTTGCTGTGTTACCTAGGGTGGTTCCGAACTCCTGGCCTCAAGCAGTCCTCCCACCTTAGCCACCCAAAGTGCTGGGATTACAGGTGTGAGCCACTGCACCTGGCCCTTTTAAAATTATTTCTTTTAAATCATTGCCAATCTGGTAAAAATAATTTTTGCTGGTTGTTTTTAGAAGACTGTGTAATTTGACCTTTTCTTTGCTATTAGCTTATTTATTAGAAGGCCTACCATTAATATATAGTTTTTTTTATTTTTTTTATTTTTTAGGCTTCTCATAACATTGGGATAGCAATGGATACTGAGCACGGTTTGATTGTCCCTAACGTGAAAAACGTTCAGGCCTGCTCTGTATTTGAGATTGCCGCTGAACTGGATCGGCTCCAGAAATTGGGCTCTGCGGGTCAGCTCAGCACCACTGATCTTACAGGAGGGACATTTACTCTTTCCAACATTGGATCAGTAAGTAATAGTAATATTTTGCGGGGAACGTGGCCAGTGTTCCCCGCAAAAAACCAGGTCCCTTTGGTAGAGTTGCAAGGGATAAGAAAATAATAGAGAGAAATGGAAAATGGAAGAAACAAAAGAATACACTGAGACAAAGGTATAGTTTTATAAGTTTATAAAGATTATAGGCAAAGCGGGAGCTCAGGGGGCTCGGACCTCTCCGTTGGTCTCA